ACTCTTTATTTTGTAAAAATCAGTTGTATAGGAAAATGTTCAGTCTAATTGGGCAATTGAATAACATTTTTTTTTGTCATACTATGTTGTAAACTTAATGTATAGTTGCCATTCTCTGTCTTGGCTTTTTGGTATAAGTTAACTTTATGCTATATCATATGCTTGTTCTGAAACTTAGAAAATAATTCTGACCTTGTAGTAGAAATACAAACTGTTACATCTCTCCTCTGCAACCTGCTTAGCTGGTGTCTTTGCTTTCCCAGGTATTTATGTTCACTCATCCAGATACTGGGGGGAAAAGGTTTCTGGAAGGGAATGCATTTCTTATCTTGGAAACAACATTCGGGCTGTTCCACTGAAATACTGATGGTTTTCAGAGGGAGCTTGTTTTCCAGCAGATCTCATTTTACTGGCTTTGGGCCAGTTTGTAAAATATTTGAATGATGTTGCCTTGTGAAAATATGCCTTGTGAGAAGATCAGGTTCGTGACCACCCGAGGAACCTAAATATATATAAGCCTGAGGGACCTGACAAGATGCATCCCAGAGTCCTGAGGGAACTGGCTGATGTAGTTGTCAAGACACTCTCCAGGATATTTGAGAAGTCACGGCACTCAGGTGAAGTCCCTGGTGACTTGAAAAAGGGAAAAATTGCGCCCATTTTTAAAAATGATAGAAAGGAGGACCCTGGAAACTACCAAGCTGTCAGCCTCGCCTCGGTGCCTGGGAATGTCATGGAACAGATCCTCCTAGAAGCTACGCTGGGGCACGTGGAGGTCAGGGAGGTGATTCAAGACAGGCAGAATGGCTTCACCAAGGGCAAGTCCTGCCTGACCAGCCTAGTGGCCTTCCATGATTGAGTGACTTCATCAGTGGACAAGGGAAGAGCCACAGATGTCATCTATCGGGACTTCTGTAAGGCCTCTGACATGGCCCCCCACAACATCTTTCTCTCTAAATTGGAGAGAGATGAATTTGATGGGTGGACTGTTTGGTGGATGAAGAACTGGTTGGAGGGTCACATCCAGAGGGTAGTGGTCAGTGCCTCAGTGTCCAGCTGGAGATGGGTGACAAGTGGTGCCCCTCAGGGGTCTGTATTGGGACCACTACTGTTTAATATCTTCATCAACGAACATAGTGGGATTGAGTGCGTCCTCATCAGGTTTGCAGATGTCACCAAGCTGAGTGATGTGGTTGGCACACCTGAGAGATGGGATGCCATCCAGAGGGACCTGGGTGAGCTTGACAAGTGGACCCATGCACATGGGTCAGGGCAACCCCTGGTATCAGTACAGGCTGGGGGATGGAGGGATTGAGAGCAGCCCTGCCGAGAAGGACTTGCGGGTGCTGGTGGCTGATAAGGTGTGCAGCCCAGAAAGCCAACTGTATCGTGGGCTGCATCAAAAGAAGTGTGGCCAGCAGGTCGAGGGAGGTGAGTCTCTGGTGAGACCCCATCTGCAGTACTGCGTCCAGCTTGGGGGTCCACAGCACAGGAGAGACATAGACCTGCTCGAGTGGGTCCAGAGGGGGCCACAAAAATGATCAGCGGGTTGGAACACCTCCCCTGTGAGGACAGGCTGAGGGAGTTGGGGTTGTTCAGCCTGGAGAAGAGTAGGCTTTAGGGACACCTTATAGCTACCTTTCAATACTTAAAGGGGGCTTATAAGAAATATGGAGAAAACTTTTTAGCAAGGCCTGTAGCGATCGGACAAGGGGTAATGGTTTTAAACTGAAAGAGGATAGATTCAGACTAGATCTAAGGAAGAAATTTTTTATGATGAGGGTGGTGAAACACTGGAACGTGTCGCCCAGAGAGGTGGTGGATGCCCCATCACTGGAGACATTCACGGTCAGGTTGGACGGGGCTCTGAGCAACCTGATCTCTCTGAAGGTGTCCCTGCTCATGGCAGGGGGCTTGGACTAGATGACTTTTAAAGGTCCCTTCCAACCCAAACCATTCTATGATTTAGATTATAATGACCTTTTTACTTGATCCGTTTGAAAGTGTTGCATGTATTGGGACACAGGACTTTTTAAAATGTGTGGGTTTTTTAAAACACAGCACTGTCTCACCCTCATTTTGAACTAGGCCCCTTTGTCTTGGGAGAGCTCATTGGTAGCAATATCCTGTTTAAAGTTGTTTTAAAATAATGACCTTGTAGGGCATGTTTCCTGCTCGCTCTTGATGGGATTTCCTTTTTATTAAACAGGAAATAGTCTGATTACATAAAAGTGTGAGAATGACAGGTTTTTCCTTCCCAGCGAGGGTTGTTCATGTTAATTCTATTCAGAAAATGCTCAACTGCCAGAGCAGCTGAAGTTAATTTACTTTGCCTAAAACTTGTTTACACCTAAAAGTTCCTACTAGTGTGTTGCTAAAGCATTGTCTTAGTCTGAGTGGTCCAGCAGGCTTTCCTGTACAAGCCTTTGTACAGGGATTTTCTTAGCAGATACTTTTTCTCACAAGTGGATGGTAGCAGGAGTTCAGTGGCATGAAGTGTGATGTGCTGAGTTTCAAAGATCTGTTTCTGCAGCTTTTTTTGCCTTTTTTTTTTTTTTTTTTTTTAATTTGAGCAGGAAGTCCAAATTGAAATTGGAAATGACAAAGATGATGCTTCCTTATCTAGGAAGAAAACGTACTTAAAATGTCTGTTACTTTTCTTTTAAATTTGTCCTCAGAATCACCTGCTGACCTGAGGTTAGGAATTGCAGTCCAAGCTCTTCTGTGTACAATAGCAGTAATGAGTCAGTAAAAGTCCTGTAACGTAATAGGAAAAGGTACCGTGATAAGTTGGCACAGGCCAGCGGCGTGCGTTGTGTGCTGAGCCTGCAGTGGCCAAAAATTGGCAAACCAGAGGTGGCTGCTGGTGACGGCCTTGCTGTCCCGCTGCGGTACCTGGCTGCTGTCCTGAGCCTTGAAGGCTCTGAGGATGAAGGAAGTTTATATTCCCTATTTAGGCATGGCTTACTGATCGCGTTTTATATGGATCGGATGTTTGGGGGGAAGGAGTTCTGTCTTCTTCTTGAAGAAGGCCAAACACCATGGGATGTCACTATGAAGCAAATGCTGTTCCATTGCAGCCTAAGCCAGAAGATGGGTCAGGTAGTAACCATCTCCATTAGGAAACTGCAGAATTAAGGTAGCTCATTCCGCTTAATTTGTTTTTAGTGTGCATTTGCCTTAATTCAGTAGACAGACGGGGGAGTGCTCAGGGATTTAAATGGGGTTGTTTGATAAGTGATGCTTCATGCATTGCAGGATTGAGGTGTGGATGTCCTGACTGAAGCAGGAAGGGCTTTGAGACATTAGTATTGGTGGGATCAACAGAAAATTGCTGATTAGAGCAGTGCTGACACTTGAGAACACCAAGTTTAGTTCCAGACTTAGGAAAGGTTAGACCAGCAGTTGCCAGAACATTTGTTGTGACCTCTCTTCAGTTTCTGCCTTAAGCTTTGCTACTCCTGGTTTGAGCTGTGTTTTGGACCCCCACAACTGACCCTTGTCTCCTCACCCCGGCGTGTTCTAGTCTGTTGCCCCCCCCCTCTTTTCCCTGTGCTGAGCTGGTATGGTCTGGGCAGCCATAGAACATGAAAAATCACTTTGCAGGGTGGTCAGTTGGCAGATGAGAATTTTCAAATAATAAAACAACTGTGAAACCCTGGAAATCTTAAGCATTTGTTTTTGTTTCAGAAGTTTAATTTTGAATTCTGTAGGCAGGTTTCCTCTGGATAATTAGTGCAATCTTTTCATATCCTACTGATAAATCAGCATTTACACAGTAAAGCCTGGGATTTTAGTGTCTCGCACAGTTTAACTTCGGAATGTCTGATTGAAACTGTTAGAGCTGGCCCGTAACCTAATTAGACTGGTATGTTGGAAAGTTTCTGGAGCAAGTCGCTTTGGCTCTAAGCTTTGTGCCAGTGAAATGATGAAGTATAGCATGATGTCTCTAATGAACAAGCTTTACTTAGAGATCTGAAAAACATTATTAGTTTTGTTTTTGGTTTCCATCTCTGCTCATGGATGTATTGCAAATAGATTTAATAAGCACAGTATCTCAATATTCTTTGGGAAAAAATTTAGCCAGTTGAGATTGTTTAGTTTTTTGTTTCTGGAAGACAACAGAACAAAAACTGAAATTGTACAGAGCAGAATTATACTGGAATAAAATGTGTTTCAAGAAAAACTGCCACAGAGCATGCTTATGGAAAACTACTCCTGTGAAAATGGTTGCACTATTTTCCTGATTCAAAGTCTGTCCTTCTATGCAGCCTTTTCCCAGGGCTTTTGAAGTGGTTAAACGTAGGCTTATATTTTGCTTATATCTCATTGAACAACTTCATCTAAAACAAAAGTAATCAAGTGCTGGCTCTAGCTCTGAACTCTTCGCTCTCTGCTGCAAAATAATAGGCAAGCAGGGAAGTTGAAAATCTCTGTTAAAACAACTGCACATAAATATTTTAGTGGGCAGTTACCTGGCTTGGGTATGTCATTAGTGTAACTGCAGAGGCAGACGAGGCCAAAGGTACCAATAAAGTTAAATCAAGCTACTTCTGCAAAGAGTGAAGGTGCCAAGCAGCTTCTGTGCCATTTTACGTTGTTGCATGATGTGTATCCCAAGCTGTCAAGACTACGTAGTGACTTTGAGTACAGCAGTGGACTCTTACACTGTAAGTATTGCGATGCTGTATTAAATACAAATTGTTGGTTTGATTTGCAGAGGCATAATTTATTCTACCATGCGTCAAAGCTGTGAGAAGGTAATGGCTGAAATAATTCGGAGTGTTGGAGAGCCTTGGTGTCACTGATACTGTAGTTTGCACAGCTGCCTGAAAGGGCTAAGGAAATCATCTTGGAAAAAGTGGAGTATTTTCAAGGACCCCTATTGGATTGGTCGCATTTGGAGATGCCAGAGACGCAGAGACAACTTCTCTTCAGCTGGGCTCTGAAAAGGAGTGTTGCCTTGAGTTTATACATCAGCTGTGCTCTACTCTCCGCAGGTGCTGCTGGTTAGCAGTAGTCGTCATCCTGATCGATGGATTGTCCCTGGGGGTGGCATGGAGCCTGAGGAGGAGCCCAACGTGGCCGCTGTGCGAGAAGTCTGTGAAGAGGTGAGTGCTTGTGAAGAATGGGAGCTCCTGGAGCTTCACTGCTGATTGCTAGCCAAGGCTTTGTGAATTTGTTTTCGTTGCTCTTGCTTGTTTTCCTTAAGGTGAAGAGGAATATATGGTCACTGGTGATATCCCTGGTGATGTACGTGGGAGGGAAACCAGAGTCCTAAATAAAGATAGCATAGGAATGTAATTAAGGCTCTCAGTCAGAATGAACTTTTCCTCGCCTAATACCTTTAATTGAAAATAGGTAAAATTAACCTATAGTAATTTCAATACATACGATGATATTCTCATTTCTGTTTTTTCTATATGAAGAAGAGTTTCTTAAGAGAACTTCATAAAACAGCTGTGCTTTTGTGGAGCTAATCCTCAGCTAGAAGGTAGAAATAAAGGCCTTACGAGCCACTAAAGACACTCCAAATATGGGGACCTCAATATGTTTTGGTGTAGTAGTATTTTCAGTTTTATGTGAATAAGAGAATTGATTATATGAGTTACAAACAACAATTCCTAATGTGGTCATGGTTTTGTTGTGTTGTGGTTTGTTTTATTTTTTTTAACTTGAAGCTATTTCAGAAAGGAGATCAAACAGCAGATGAAACAGATTGGTGATCTGTATGGAGAAGGCATATTTTTCTCTTAAAGCTGGAAGAACCATTTTATTCTTCCTAAGGAATTCAAAGACAGCAAATGGCAGTTGACTACATTGTATGTAAAACATGTCTTTAGAATTTGCTTCTGAATATTATCACATTGGAGAGGTGCTTAGATTCAGAAACAATTAAAATATTATATATGGATGACCAAGTAGGCTCACAGATACATAGGGCAGGATTAAAAATGCTTTTAGGAGTGTTATAAATCTTTGTGCTGCAGAACAGAAATCAAGAGCTAATTGATTGGACTTGGGAGGAAGCTTCTCTAGTAGTTGCTTTATTTAATTGCTTGGTATGTGAAGGTTTTTCTCAAAAGTATTTGGGGAAGCACGTGCTGATGTCTAACAAAATGCTGAATGTTTGGGCCTTTGGACTAATTTAATGTGGCAGTTCCCGAGTTTTGTGTTTTTCTTTGGATGTTTTTATAATCTAGCAGTTTATGAGAAAGATTACACACTCAAGGTTTATTTTTTTAAGTGTCCTTAGGGTCCCTCTAGTACTGGGGATTGCTGCTTGGAAATTTTGTTTCCAGCTTGTAATACAGCTCCAGCTTTTTTATTAACTTGGTGATCTTTCAAACCCATTATAAGCCAAAGTGAGTTTAACCAGAACAATAGACGTATTTTTAGCTGGAGACTCCTGCTTTACAGCCCAATCGTTATTAATAATTAAGTTATTTGATACAGAAGTCAAGGGTTCATTCAGGGGATGCATGGCTTCGCCTTTCAAATCCTTAAAATAAATCTGTATCAACCCTCCCCTCCTCGGGCAGTGCAGCGCCTTGGAAGAGTCGCTCTCTTTCCATGACAGCTCGGTGGCTGAAAGGGAGCCTTGGCATGGGCTCAGTCTGCAGTCAAGAAACTGGTTTGGGCTGGCTGAGATAATCCCCTCTCGCTCAGCTGGTGCTCCCTCGCTCACGTGGACCTGTGCCGAATGAGAATGTAATTCAAACTGTGGCAGCCTGGCAGGGTTGAGTCATTCCCAGAGAAGCACCTATCTGCTTGAATGCCACTCGACAAACAGTAAACATCCAGAGCTCCAAAAGCGGCAGGGTTACCCCAACGGCTAACTTCCACAACACCTAGTAGCCTGTGATGCGAATGCAGGGTGGGAATCTGAAATGGAGCTATCAGATGCTGTTACGATAAAGGCCTTCCTGGAAGCTATCTGCAGAAGAGCAGCCTGTCGTGTATAAAATTACTTGAGCGCTTCTGCAGCTAATGATGAGGCTAGCTGACACGGGTGGAAAACACAGGCGAGCTTTTAGGTGTGTAGGGCACTTCTCAAAGAGGTTTGTGTTCCAATGCGCTGCTTACAATCCGCACGCAAAATTATGATGTACATCAGCCGTCTTAAACTCAGCGAGCTGTTTACTGTAAAATGTTGCTGGGGAATGCGTGTGCGGGAGGGGAATATTTGTTATATTGCAGCTGTAACGCCGTAATGGACTTTTGTGCACCCAGTTTCCCAGGTTGTGCTGTTGATTTGGTGGGGGAGGTATTTTAGGAGGCTGCTTGCTGCGCAGCTGGTGCGCATGCTAGCTGGTAATCTTTGTTCATCCTTTCATGTGAGTCTAGGCTTTTTCGGGTAGGTTGTAGCTGATGCCGATTTCTGAGTAGGTTTGATGTCTTTGCCCCTCGTCTGGGACAGGCATGGCTGTCACTCGCAAGGACCCAAGAGGTTAGCTGAGCAGGTAGAGTCTGCTGCTTGTGTTGGGAGAGGGAAAATCCAGTTTCCTCCATGTCGATGAACACAAAGTAATTTTTATCCTAAAAGAAGGTGGTTTGCATGCTGGTCAAAATTATGGAAGAAATCTGTGGACGTTCTTTCACTGACTTTGTTATGCCTTTTCTGTTATAATAAGAGACAGTTGGAAGAGCTGGAAGGACTCATTACCCTTTCAGTTGCTTGTGGTCTTTGAAGATGACAATAGGCTGGTTTTTCTCAATTCATTCTTTTTTGCATGGTATGCATTTGCTTTTTAAAGTATGCTTCTCTAAACTAAGATTTTTCACATCTGTGTTTGCTGTTTTAATTTCACCATGTATTTGTTTGAGTTTATCCATGTGATTGCTGGAATGATTGTCATATAAAGAAATTTGACTTTTCCCTCTTTCTGATTTTCAAAATCTTAGAAGACTGTTTCAAAAATGAAATGTTGATTCTGAGTGAAACCTGTGATCCCTCTGCCCCAGTTTGAGTTAGAAGTCCTTGTCCTAGTTTGAGATAGTCCTTATCTATATTAATCTGTACCAGCAGAAGTATTAAAGTAGACAGGTACCAACACTTGTCATGCTTGCTGTTGTCTGCATAAAATTCAAAGTGACTTGAGTTCTTGGGCATTGTTTTTAAGCAAAGTAGCAGAGACAAGCACGCTAGCGCTGAATGAGAGCAGCCTTTTCAAATAAACCCACTTATTTCTGCCAGATTGTTGAAAGATGATGTAGTCAGTCTTAACATGGCTGTAAATTCTAGGTATGTTCTAAGGTTCACCTTCTAGAAAGTGATGTGCCCTTTTAAAACAGTCATTAGCGCCAATCTAGTGTATTTTTTGCTTCTCATTCTTGAATTTTTTTTGCTGTTGCATTCTCTTCCCAAAACTAATTTTATGTTAGGAATAAGGGTTTTTTTATGGGTGTGAGCAACTGGTGAAGAACATGTTGTAGAAATAGATGCCTTAAATTAAACTTATTATAGAGTGGCTTTGAAAAAAGCCTCCACACTCATCTGTTAAACCCAAAGGCATTTCATTTTGCACTTACAGCATCTTTCACATCCTGACCTTTAAATACTTAGTAAATGTCAAGTTCTATAAAATTATGGGAGTGTTAGTCGTGCTTTCTTCATGGGAATCAAAAGCCACATAAGTTGTGCTTGATCTGTGATCAAACAGGCGATTGATGCCAATATCAAAAATAGTCCATCGTGATAGTACTTTGATCTAGTTGCTAGACCTCTTTTTATTTTTTCTTTTCCTCTCTTAAACATGCTTTATAAATAATCTTTCCTGTTTCATGTATTTTGTTAGTGGCTTAGGATATGAATATTGATGTCTTTCAGCACTAAAATAGGAAGACTTTTTTTTTTTTTTTAATTTTTTTTTTTTTAAATATTGCAAGGACCATGGATGAATGACTGAGATAATGGTGTTGAACTCTTCCTAGATTTAGTAATATTCAGTGCAAATAGTGAACCAAGTTCACTGCTGTCTGTTACTCTGGGTACTCAAACGTCATAAAAATGAGTGCAATGTCTTAAAAAGTTTTTCACTCTGTCATGGTATTTAATTTCTTTTTCACTAATGTAAAAGCATGTATTGGTTGTAATGCAGTAAAGAATTAGATGAATAAGTATAACCCTCTTTGAGACACAGTAGAGACAGCAAGAAAATTTGCCTAGCAGGTCTGTAATTGGCGTCTTTAGAACTTGTCTAAGCTAGCAGTCTTTATGGGTGTGATTTACTACCTTCACTGCAAGTATTAGAGCAAAGATTTGGGTGTTTTACCACAGTCCTCTTGCCCAGCAGTAATCTGTAGTAGATGCAGGCTTTGAGCCTAATAGAGCAAAGTAAAATAGCTGAAATTCCAACCCACATTTTCCTTAGCTCAGATGGAAGGAAATAAAAGCTGTCCCTAGGAACAGATGGTGTTGCTGCAGGCTGCTTTTTGCATCTGACCCGAACTTATTTTCAGCTTTGAAACCTGAACCTGCTGTTCTTGGATGTCTTCAGTAATTTTTCTTTATTAAAACAAGTTGTTCCATGAGCAGCAGAACTAGTAAAGCTTCATTTCCTCCAGATTTTTGTTCCTGGTCCTGAACGCTCAGCCCACCCCTCGGGGCGTGCAGCAGCGGGGTTTGAAGTCGTGTGTTGTTTTGGGGTGGCTGGCTGTTGCTGTGACATTGATGCACTCTTGCCAGATCTGTCTTTTCCTCTGGTGAGGACTACCTTGGACATTGTATCTGCAGAGTAGTGAAAAAGCAGCTCATTTTGCAAGGCCTGTCTACCCTCTTTTATACCTGAGTGTGCCTCTTCCTGGGGATTTGCTTTATTTTCACACCTGCAGATGGAGCAGTTGTTGCTGGTGCTTTCCCACCGCTTGTTGATCGATTTAATAGCGTCCTCCTAGAATGTGTGTCTGTTTTGAGGATTGTAGCATGGGCTCTGTGTGCAGCAGTGCTAGTGCTTGGAGGGGGAGCTTGGGCCCAAACTGTGCTGCCTCTGCCAGGCACTTACTGTTGTGGCCCATGAGGGCGGAAGATTCTCAATCCATTTACTGTGGAGGAGAAGATTCCTGAGTCATCTGGTGCAAATTAAGATTTAGATCCAGTTTCAATCCTGGATGAGCCTGTGACTATGCTTTTAACTTTCCAAGAAAATGCTCGTTGTCCTGCCGTGAGGATGAGTTGGGAAGGTGCTGAGGGGTTGATCCCTAGGAAGGCGAGAGGTATGGAGCTAGCCCAGAGAGGAGCCTGGCAGTTTTGTTGCTCGTTACTTGGCTTGCTTTGTTAGTGATAACAGCTGTAGATTATTTTCTTGGATGTCTTGGGCAACTTTTATGTTAGAAACTTGTGTGAACTCCACTTTCATGTTTCTTTGTTCCATTAAATGAAGTATGTGATTGTATAGAGATTATGACTTTCCTGTTTGTGTGTGAATGAAATGCTTTATCAAAAATAGGTGTATAACAATCCAATGAGTCTATGTTAGATGTCCTGTAAGTTGTCTTTAGATCCACTATACCAGTAAAATGGGATGAGAGAGCTATTGGTCTCCATGAGGTAATGATTGATGTACTTTGCTGTCTTTGGTAAGGGGTTGCTTTATAAAAACAACCCAGTATTTGTTTGTATCAAACCATTAGTTTATGTCACCATTTACTACTACATGTGGTAAATTCATATGTGAAGAAAACCTTACCAATTTTTTGAACTGTCTAATGATAATTCAACATGGTTTTCCTACAGCACATGTTTATCTTGTCATTGCTTTTTGTGCCTTTTTGGGTGAATAAGACTAGGCAGAATGGAGAAGGATGATCTTCGCTTGCAGGCAGAGTGTTATTTCCGTCGCCTCTCTGTTTAACCAGAACAGAAGGAAGGGCTCCTCACCTGCCTGTATTACTTCAAACACAGTTTTAGAGCTGGGGATAAACTGCTTGGGAGGCTGGTTGTGCAGTATTCATGTTTAGTTTCCAGGCTGGCTAGTTGCCTGGAGATAAATTTGTTTCTAGTCAGGCCTGAGAGGTCACTAAATCATCCCAACATCATCCTTGGCTCTCGATTCAGTGCCTTTGCAGGTAGGTAAGGAGAACAGAAATTCAATAGCCTTCTCCAGGAACGAGTGAAGCTTAAGACAGTTATTTATCTGAAACATTTGATTACACTTCGCCTTTTAGTACATTTATGTATGTATGTTGTGAAGGTGGAAGCCTTGTGTTCCTTTCTTTGTTATTGCTGGCATGGTTGTTTATCTAAAAAAAACACCAAAAAGCCCAGTGTTTGAGGCTGCTGGAGGAGTTCTTTGAATTAAATTATTTTGAAGTATATGCCTTCCAGTTCTCTTCTAAAAGAGATTACTCGAGGTTAGCAGCAACAGTTTTGCAGATGAAGTAAAACCATCCATCCACAAAGGTCAAAACCAGTTACCTCCCCCTAGCCATGCTGGTGTGTGCATACACGCGTCCATTGACCTTCATGGAATTGCTGTTTGACTCCAGAAATAGCCTTGTGGTTAATAGTCAGTGGTCCACCTATGGGCTGAGCAGAATGTCAGAAATACTGATGAGACAATAAATTTTCATCCAAAACCAACATAAAAGATTCAGTTGAAAAGCTTCTTCCTAGAAGTAGAGGCCAGGGAGCATGTTACAGAAAGGATTACAGATTTCTCTGAATGTTTGTAGTAGGGGGAGCTAGAAATCCTTTTCTCTTGGGGCAGTTCTGCCATCAGCTATGCTTAGAAGAAATAGCGAGGTGTGGTCTGGCTGTGCTTGATTATCTGTCTGTTCACTTTGTAGGCTGGGAGCTTAACTAGGAAAATCTTTTGATTAATAAAAGTTCTTCCCTTCTGAAAACACATGACTGTACAGCAACTGGTTAGTAGCTGAACAAGTGGGAAGCGGTGTATCTCAGCTGCTCAGGACAGAGAATTTGTCTTATCATTAAATATTTAGTTGCCCTCACACAAACATCTTTTTTTTAAAAAAAAAAAAAAAAAAGGCATGACATAATCATATCTCTTTAACTTGTCTGGAAGAGCAGAGGCACTATTTTCCTGAACTGTTTAGGATGTGTTCCAGCTGCCAGAGATGTCAGCTGAATTCACCTTCCAAACGTGGCTGGGTTGTATGCCAGATTGCGTGTGTTGTTTCAGACCAATTAAGTCATGGTGCAAAATCTCATCTTGTCTGTAACATTTGAGTTCCAACCGCTTACAGTCGTAAAAAGAAGGGAATGTAAATTATTGGGAAAAAAGGAGGGGTCTGAGGGCAGAAGATTGGGATGGCATTTTGCATGCATGCATGATGCAACACCAGAGAGCAGAGGCGAAAACCAGCACTTTGAGAAAGTGACTGAGCCACAGCAGTGAGTGGATGTATAAACAGTGACAGCAAATCAGATAAAGCGGGTAGATCCTCAGTAGCGTTCAAATAGAAGACAAAACTGTTGCTTAGATCTTCTCTTGATTTGTGTCTGTGCTTGATTCAAAAGTCTTCTTTCAATGCGCATCTGCATTTTGTGTTCTAACAAAAGTAGTCTTGTTCCTGTTGTGGGGGCCGCTTTACAAAGTTGAAAGTATTTTATGTTTGTATTGGCTTGCTTCAAATGTATGCAGAACATCCCTGAAATACCTGGTTACTGTCGTGTTGGTTTGATGGTGTAAGTGGATGTCTTATACATACTTTCAAGTTATTTTCTTAAACTATAATTTTAAAGGGGTAAAACTGCTAAACCCCAAAGCAAATTTTATTAAAGCCTAAGTATGGATAACCTCTAGAGGAGATTCTGGTCATTTGGAGCATATTGATATACAATTAGTAGCTCATAAAATAATTTCTTTTGTTTCATCCAGATTGAAATCAAAACTGTTTGAATGTAGGAAAAAAAAAAAAAAAAAGGAAAAAAACTCTTGGGAATGGATGCATGGTTAGAGCTCATGATACATTTCAGTCGCTTTTCTTGTAACCATGTTGTTTTCAGACTGACAGAGTTTTACAGCATTTGCTTCCTGTTCTAAAGGAACTGCTCCTGCACAACAAAGAAGGAAGTGTGTACTGACCTGTTGTTAAAGCATGTTTTTTTTTTTTCTCTTTGAACTTTTCCTAGGCTGGAGTGAAAGGGACGTTAGGAAGATTAGTGGGAATTTTTGAGGTAAGTTTCAGACATGGAGGCTGTGAAATTTTAATGCAAAAAAATTGTCTTGGAATAAAAATCACTTCCCAGTTTGTGAAGTTAACTAGATAACTTGTTTGAAAAAAAGCCTAAAACTCCCGGTTTAAATAAAAATGTATGCTGATCTTTTCAGTGATGCTGATCATCTGCAATTTCCACTTCGGTTGCAATCATGAGTGATAAGTCAGTGTAACAGTGAATATTCTCAGTGCCTTCATACCTTTCTTGCTGCCAGAAAAGGCCACCCACCTGCTGGGGAGCAGGGCCTCTCCTTTGTTCTTTAGCACCTGCCGTCTCCCATTGCCAAACTGGCCTCTGCAACTGGTGAAGTGTGTGCGCTCCTATTAGGAGTGCGGTAACACCTGATGAGTACTACTGGGACGCATAGTCAGCAGGTACCAGACACAGGTCTTTTTACAGTTGTTTTTTCACTAACTATTTCAGAGTTGTGTGAAATAGATAAAAATCTTTCATGTGTTTTGTGTTGTTTTACCAGCAGAGGAACTGATTGATAGGCGTATCCATCCACCAAATACTGTTTTCCAGATTAGGCACTAAACTTTTTGGCTGTTTGACTGTTAATACTTTCAGACCTCTCATTTAAAATGCAACACTTTTTAATAGCTAAGAACGAGTTATATTGTGAGGGAAACAGCACATAGGGTACTGCAGCATCATGGTGAGGCAGCTTGCAACTTGTAGTCGCCATGTGCCCACCTGCATTTTTTTTCCTTGGCAGCTTTGTTGTTACTCTGTTCCCTTTGCTTTCTAGAATCGGGACAGGAAACACAGGACATATGTTTACGTACTTATCGTCACAGAAGTGTTGGAAGACTGGGAGGACTCTGTCAATATAGGTAAACTCTGTGCTTGCTGGCATTAACTGGTTTGGTGCAGACAAAACGCGTCAGCTTAGCATCCCTCTGGGATCTGGAATCCTTGTGAGAGTGGTCAAGAACAGTTGCAGTGGTGTGTCCTTTGGTTGCTTGTGAAAAAAAAATTTTGGTCAAATTGGTGCTTTTGTAACCCATGTGGCCCAAGAGAAGTCAATTCAGCTGTACAGCTGCCTCTACAGCAATTTTGTATTTAATTCTTGCACTTTAAGATACTAAGCAAAGAGCACGAAGAGCTGTCCTTTCTAAGACTAGAAGAAAATATGTCTGGGGAGTGTGGGACTAATTATTCCTCATTGTCTTTAGAAATATTTGTGTTTAAATTGGATTCTCAAATGAAAATGAACGTGTTGTTCTGCAGGAGGTTTGTCAATAGCACTGTAGCACCTGTAACTTGACTTTCCTCAGGCTGTGTATGAAGACTTGAACAGAAATTGCAGAAATAGCAAAATAAACATGGGGGGTTTGTTTTATTTGTTTTAAATTGGGACAGGCAATACCGGTTTGCTTGGACAGTGGATGTACTACCCTAAACAGATACCTGGTTGTGGGGGTAGAGGGGCTGTCAGTATGGTGTTCGGAGTAGATGGACCTCGAGATCAGAGAAACCCAAGAGAAAATTTCCCAGTGTCTTTTGAACTGATGCTTTGCTACACAAATTGTTGTTGCAGCATTAGTGCATGTGATAATGATTGAAAGCTAATCAACAGTAATGTTTAAACATAGGATAGCGTTGTTTTGTTGCATCTACTGATTTTTCTTTTTACCCACAGGAAGGAAAAGGGAATGGTTTAAGATAGAAGATGCCATAAAAGTTCTGCAGTATCATAAACCAGTGCAGGCTTCATATTTTGAAACCTTGAGGCAAGGTTGTTTGGCAAACAACGGCACTCCTGTCATGACCACGACGTACTCTGAGAGCTCCGTGTCTGACATCAGATGACTGAAGACATCCCCTATGAGAGAAATTTTGAGAAAAAGACTGAAACATGGATTTCCCTCCCCTCTCCCCTTTTTCACATGCCTCCTCTATCAAACAAGGCATGGGCAGCAGCCTGTGGCAGAGCAAGTGTTAAGAGTGCTGCAGTTTAGTGCAAGGTGGGATTTTTTTTTTGTTGGCTTTTTTTGCTTTTTTGGATATGTATTTTGTAAAATACATTTTGTGCATGAAGTGCCCCTTTCCCGTTACACCGCTTCCATGGGCTGGCGAGCGAGGCTGCCAGTTTCGCCTCTGCCTTGTGTTCTGAAGTGTCCCGTTTGTGTCATCCCAGCCATAGCCACTTTTTTTTTTTTTTTTTTTTAATTGAGAGACTTCAAATGTGAGATCAGCTCTTTAAGTCTTAGTCTGTACTGTAAGGTGCTGTTCAGACCTGCGTGGTGGTCACTTTCAGCACATATGTATAAACTTTTTTTAGATGGAGAATCTAACATTTTAATTTTGTGGGAATTTTTTTAATCCTTGTTTGCTTCTGAAAAGAAGGGTTCATAATTAATCTGTTTGCCTTTTGTTCTGTTTTTTAAAAAATACACGTTCTGTGACAGTGCTAGTGGCTGGGCCAGTTTACTCCCCATTCAGTATCTCCTGATTTAGTGCAGTGACACTTGAAGTTGAGGGCAGAGTTTTGATCACCTGCAGACATCCCTGCTGCTCCCTTGCTTCTCCTACAGCTTCCGCCAATGTTTCTGCATTTACATCAAAATGAAACAAAAAGGAGTTGGTCTTCTAACACTTGGCCAAAAATAAATAGCCTCAGAAATGCTACGATAGAAACTGAATTTCATTGTCTGTGGTAGGAATTGGGGATTCGAAGTGGGGTCAAAGTCTGACAAACTGGAGCGTCGATCACCAATGCTGTTCTGCTGATCCTGCTGTGTTCTGCTGATGTCTCTTCTTGTCCACATGCCTTATACCGTGCTGAACTGGATACTTGTAATTTGTGCTAAAGCGTCGGATTGTAATTACTGAGTGTTACTGCATGAACCCTCGGTTGGATAACCATGTGTGTCCCTGAAAAGAAGTCCTGGGGGAAAAATTCAGGTGTTCAATCTCTTGTCCTGTGGTTCTGCAGCACTTACAGTTGCACCATGGAGCACGCTCAAAATGTTTAAACTCTCCCTCTGTGAAAGGTACAGCTGACTCCTGAGCAGAATTGCTAGTTAGAGAAGTACACCGTTTAATAGGGTAGTTCCCCTGATGCATTGGCACGCTTCACATTATTATTTTTTTTTGTTGTTGTTTTTACTGATGTAAGTTTCATGCTGTCTTGATTTGCCAACAGTGTTGTCTAGTTGGGAAATAAAGTGGGAAGGGTTGGGGCTGGGGGGTGGGTTGGGACAGGTACAAGTTTTGGGAGGGGCATTAATTAATCCCTGGCTTGGGACAAGAAGTAGTTGCTGAATGCAGTAACTTCTCCTTTGTCGGAGCATAGCCAAGATGTGAAATTAAATCTGCAGTACTCTTTTTTTTTTTTTTTTTTCTTTTTTTTTTTTTCCTCCTCTTTATTTAACAAAAAATATTCTAATAAATACTCACTGTTCCAGAGTTTTCTCTGTTCCCGAGAAGCACTTACAATATGAAAATCTAATAGAAATATCCATGGAGCCTGGGACAAGGGGGAATGGTATCCTTGCTGGTTTGGCAAGAAGCTGTTCATTTTAAGATCCTATTCTGTTCCTTTACTTGTTCTCCTTGCTTTCATCAGTGTGGAGTAGCAAGGCCAAAAGCAGTGCCAGTGATCACTAACATGAAAAACCATGCATAAGAAAAAGCTGAGAGGCATTATTCAAGAAGTAGCTTGAAACTGAGCATCTGGAATTGAGCCTAAATTACACCAGTTCAGTTCACTTCAACTTAGAGACGAATGTACAATACTTTCTTACTCTGTGCTGATCGGCCTGAACCAAACTCTCAAAAGGGCTTGAATATTGTATCTGGAAGTGTACAAGAAATTCAGACAGTCTGCTGTTACCGAGCTGTGAGTGGCACCTAGCACAGCCATCTACTGCCTTCAATTGTGTTTTTGTCTTTCCTGTACAGATTAGTGTGTTGAAAAAGGTTTGCAACAAAACAGCTGGTACTCCTGAAAGGGTAACTGCAGTTTTAATATCAACAGCATACACACTTTTCTTTTTAAACTAAAAATGTTTTTACAGGGCTGTTAAACTGACAGTTTAGGGTAGAATATTGTTAATGACTTGCTAATGGCTTATTTGTTTGGGTCAGAAAAATAAATTGTGCCAAGAAAGTGTTTTAATGTGGCATGAATTGATGCTGTTAACACAATAACATCAAATGGCTGATAATATGCCTTCTTAACTGGAAATAGCTCCTGGGGTAGAAATAGCCTTTACTCAACAGACGTGGATTTCAAAATGGGCCTTAGTCCTGTGAATCTCTCCCTGCACCACACGAATTCCCGTCTTCCTCAGCATCTGAGGTTCTTCTCTAGTAACTGGTATAGTTGTGTGCCCTAGCAGTTTAAATGATTTTATCCAAAATGATGTTAAATTGGTTCGGGACCGACAATCAAACTACCTTTATTAGTGACAAAAGAGTTGTTCCAAGGACGGCGCGTGCTCTGGGTTTCGCAGTAAAGACTAGTGCCTGCTTGATTAAACTGCTTAGGGCTGCTGTTATGACCAACTGCTAAAAAACCCTGTAGGATTAGACTCAGACTTCCAGCGTTGCTAAAACTGGTGCTATATTGAGCCTAGTGTTGGAGATAGTGGGATTCTTACCTCAGACAATGTAGTGTCTAGCCTGACCCCTTAAATGGAGCATTACAAAGTGTCTCAGCTTCCCATTGAAGAATAATGTTCTTAGTTTGGCTTTCAGCTTATTTTCCATCATACTTGGCAGTGATGTGTTTGTAGGTAAAACAGAGGAATACGAATGCTTCACTGAGACATCCTGAAAGTTTGCAGCAACCATGTCAAGTCACACTCAAGTTGCAGGTTTCTGACGCTTGTCTTGGTTCTTTGAAATCTGGTTTGGGATAAATGCCAGGGGTGTTGATGATGCACAGTATCCACCTCAGAGGGGCTATCGTTAATTACCTTGTGACACACCTGAACTCTGGGATGTCATGAAAAACTTGCAGTGCCCTCTGCAACTTCTGAGGGGTAGAGTCATTTTGCTAGTAAGATTACTTTTTCCCTTGCTGCTTTTCATACATGTATTTGCAGTATATACAGGGACACCTCACTCTTGATACATCACAAAGCAAGTCTGCCTGCAGTGAGGAAGAGGGGGAAAATTATGGGCCCTTGAAACACTCAAGTACTGGATTTCTCTATGCACCTAAGTGTCATCTCAGGGTTGCAAGCTGAGTGATGAAGTAAGAGAAAGAGGGAGACTCGCTGCTCAGCACAGGGAGGTTCTCTGAGCAATTCCTGCTCTTCAGCATTCATTCACTTCCTCTGGTATTGTCAAAATTAGAAATCCTCATATAGCAGATTGCATTCTGCCATCTGGATTTTTAAACGTGTTTGAGACCTTAATGTGAGAAGTGCATTCAGCACGCAGACACGACTGCTTAGTGTGATGATCTTTTAAACCGCAAAATACTTACGGAAATCTGGATCTCTGTCACGAGAAGTGTTTGACAGACCAGCTTGGATTACTGCTGTGGCAGGATAAATGTTAGCTGGTGGTTTAAGCTGATGCTGGGGAGAGTCCTGGCATTTGTTGACTCTAATATGGGAGCAGGAAAAAAAAAAAAAAAGTCACCCCTGGGGTATCAGTGTCTCCAGCAGCTGCTGCTTGGTTCTTCCAGCAGGATTTGTCAGATCCCGTACCTTTCTGATGTCCTTAACTGATGAGCAAAACTCAAGAGGCAGGTGCATGTCCCTCTGCAGAAGAGTGCCAAGTGTAATTAAACTTAGTGGAGCTGAAATCATACCTGTCGAGCTCTAGGAGATCTTTCTCAAATAAGGCTTTGGTCTGGTGGAACAGGGATTTCGATGCATCCGTTAATGTCAGTTTAGAAATCGCGTGTGGTAGAAAATGTATGGCACCTTTTTCTTGAAGTGGTTGCTGTTAGATGGGTTTTGGGTGTCAAATTTGACTTTGCTCATGCTGAGGCTTTTCAAAGGAACGTTTCAAAAGGAAGCACATTTTTTCAGTTAGAAGTAACGTACCATTTTCTGCTTGCTGAATCTTTCCCTGTGTTTAACAGGCGTGTGGCAGGGCTGTGCGTGCTGGTGTTGGGGCGGCTGTGGGAGGCTGGGAAACGACACTGCTGGGCCCGGGAGGTGACACCTTTCCTGGGAGATGCCTAGAGAAGAGTGAAAAGTTGTTTTGGTTTTTTTTTTTTTCCATTCTCCCTGAAATCTAGCATTCAGTGCTATTAAAGTACTTTTGGTCGCTTCACAAAGATGGATTATTTAATTCTAGACAGTAGTTCATTGGCGATAGAGAAACTCGGTATTGTGATAAAGCCAGGGGAGGCTTGTTCCTCCTTTATCTTTGCAGAGTGTTTCTCCTTCTTACCAGCACTTCCCGAGCTGTTTTGTGCTCTTGCAGGGTTAGCCAGAGCTGCTCTGGCAGAGCTCAGCAAACCCTTGCTCAGAACTGCAGGGATTTCTTGTCAGTACGAGCGTTTGGCATTTGCCTCTCCAGGTATACCATTTGGCAAAACATTCCTTCGAGTTAATGGCTGCTTTGCAAACTAAAAATGAGATATTTTTTTCAAATTGAAAATGCGTTAGACTTCGAACTGTAAAAACTCTTCGGGACTGAGGTGGTGACAGCTGAGAGGGTGCAGGACATGATGGCAGTCTTGTTCACTGGCTGCTGTGCCATGAGCACTGGACAGGGTAAATATTACTTGCGTGTGGTTTCGACCTCTCAGAACGAGGTTTGTAGCCTCTGAGTAGTTTTACAGCTGAAATATCTTGAGATGAATCTGTCAAAGAGTGAGTATTGGAAGGAGGCTGTTTGGTAAGTGTAGGGGCAGTTGCATCACCTGTAGCAAAAAGATAATTTGGAAGTTGCTGATGGTCAGTCAGCTCACTTGTTTGTGTTTAATGCTGTTAAACAGAGCTAAAGTCATAGACTGGTATTATTGATAAAACTCCATTAGCCAGTAACTGTAATGAAAACCAAATGGAAGGAGATAAAAATAGAGGCTTTAATAGAGAGGCACTGCATAATGCGTTTTTTTAAGCTGCTGCGTGGATCAGATGGGGAGAGTATACCTGGCGTGTTAAAGTCTTGCTGTTTCTTTCCCCCGTCCCTTGCTCACATTCAGTACAGTAAGGTGCAAGAAATAATTGGGAGTGGCCTTTGGTTCTTGATAGTAAACCTGCTGTGATTTGATTGAGTTCTGTGTACGTTACACTATAAGAAACTATTAGATTTACAGGTAAAGCGAGCCCAGCCAGGCTCTCCTCAGATAACATCTCTTGCCTTGCTTTGCTGTAGGAAGGTGGCACGGACAGGTGAATGCATGTGCTGTCTCTGCATTTTTTTAAATTACATCCTTTGGGATTATGTTCCCTTTTTCTTCCATTCTGGGGACACGGTTCCTTCTTAGGTTGATCTTGTTCCAGCTTAGCAAGGCAGGTCTGTTCTCTAATGGCTGTGCTGTGAAATAAAACTGCTGAGTGGTGCTGGTGGGGAAGGAGCAGAGCCTGTCCCGGGTGGGTTGCACCCGAACAACCTGCGGCATTTCCTCTGCTGGTGGCCTTCGGTCTCGCTGCTGTGGAGGAAGGTAAGAGCAGGGGTTGGGGGCTGGAAAGGAACCGCAATTTAAGCATTCACATCAGCTTTTTCACTCAGCAGATAGACATTGTGTGCACTTCCCAGATTTTTGTTGAGCAAGAAGGCAATTCAATTCGGCGTGACCTTCAATGTGCCTTAAAGCAAATTCTATAAACTGAAAAATTAAGAGGGATTGGAATCTGCTAGTATTGCTTTTTCCCCTGTGCAGACAAAGTATTCGGTGGCTGAAAATGTGGGTAGGGAATGTCAGGAATCCTCAGTTCCTTTCCCAGATCTAGCCTGAACTTCGGGTCTCTGCCTCAACTTTTCCATGCAGAAAATGTGTTCACCATTTTCCAATGCACTGATTGCTCCAGAAGAGCAAAATATTTGAATCTGCACAGATCAAATGTTCGCCTCTCCCAATTGTAACAACTCTAGATTTTCTTGCTTGTTCTTACAAACACTGTTTTATCCCAAATTGATAATGTTTTGTGCTTTTCAGGCAGCCAGATGCAATGTTTGTACCTGTGCAAAGCATCCAGTAAAAGCAAACGTGGGTGATCTGGGAGTTTGTGAAAGTTAGGTTTGAATACATAATTTTCCCACAGTGGAAGCTACAGCTGGTGCCGATTCTGGGGAGGGGATCAAAATCTGTCGGTCTCTTTAGCCAAACTCGCAGCAAGAAATGGAGTTGTTTGAGCTGCTCGTTGGTGTGAAGAGCTTTTATCTTCTAAAGACACTCAAGAACTTTGGGTAATTCACTCACTGCTCTGGTCCTGCTTTTAAATGTGTTTTCCCTCCTGGCTCTGATCTTAGTGCTTAATAAGACAGCATCATCTAGTGGCTACAGGCTACATCCCAGCCTGGGGATGCGGGTCACCTTGCTTCTGGTGGATGCTTGCATCTTGTCTCGGTGTTGGAGACTATAACATACCTGTATGTATATATGATCCTCACTTTTCTCAGTGGTAGAATGAATTTAATACAGTTAGAGAGGGCTCTCGGCTTCAGGGGTGGGAGGTGGTGTGTAGATACCTGTAGTGTTTTACTGGGTATAGTGTCATGAGGTCTGTACATAATTGAGAGAGGTGTAGATGGGTGAAAAAGAACACTTAACTGGATTGAAGATGTATTTAGGAGATTTATAAAATCTCTTTTTGGTGCTAGTTGATAGGGTTTTTTTTTTTTTCTTTTTTTTCTTTTTTTTTGGTGGATAAGTGAGAATTTTGAAGTTATACTTGAGAAATCGGCTCTAGAATTGCCTCAGACATTAACCTTGGGAGGTCCAAGAGTGTTTGCTGAACTTGCTGTACGTCCTTTTTTCTATTTATTAAATCAGAAGATCTGGAACGATCACTTTGCATTTTCTGCTCAGTCTTTTCACAAACTCTCTGTGCCAGCGACTCCCCGGGAGCACCCCCAAGCCGGGAGAGCCGAATCCCAAACCCCCTCCACGCGTGTGCCTGGCAGTGGGACAAACAACCGGGGTTCATCACCCCACGCCTGGCACGAGCTGGGTGTCCGTGGGTAGGAGCATATCCACCTCAGGCCTTTCCATTCCTTAGCGAACCGAGATACCTCCAAGATGAAAGCTGCGGGGCTTTGACCGACTCTTCTGCTCGTGTCTGAGCTGGGACGTTTGAATTCGCCTCCGCGACCGAGGACTTTGCTACCGCTCCAGGTACCGACCCACTCCCACCCCCCTTGGCAGCGCCGGTGCGAGCGGTCCCGCTGGAAAATGGGGTTTTAAACCTTGCAGATAATTTTCCAAGTCATTCAAGCGTCCAGGCCCGGGGTGGGGGGGTCGATGGCAGCAGCAGGGCGCGGTGAGTGACCTCCCGGGGTGTCCCGCTCCCGCGTGACGTGGTGGTGTCGGCCGGCGCGTCTCAGCGGAGGCTCCTGGTCCTGCTGCTGCTGCTGCCCAGCTTTCACATGGAGATGTCAGGGAGTTCAGAGGAGGAAAACTGGTGGAGAGAACAAATTTACTAATTTCTTAGGGTTAAAAGAAGCCTGAGATTGTCAGTGATTTTCATTGAATCATGAGTAACAAATACTAATTTCTCTGTGAATTCTAGGTGGTTTTGGTCTTGCAATTCCCTAAATCTCTTTTGGTTTATTTTTCTGGCTGCAGATTTCTGTTCCTCACTCCAGTGCTTTGTGTTTCTAATCTTCTGGTAAAGTTAATGTGTTGTTTTTTATGATATATTAAATTGAAATGATTTGCAAAAACACTTTACAACTGCAAGGGCACTTTGGAAATCTAGCATTTCAGCTGATGCTTTTTCTTACTGACTTGGACTTGTTCTTACTTACGACACATTTGTTCAAAGTCAAATGCATTTAGTAGAAAACACATTTTGTTTTCTTTGATGTTCACATCTTAGTTTGAGCCTACAAATAATGCAGGTGCTCTCTTGCTCCTGCTTAGTCTGGCAGGTATAGTGTATACCTACATAATTCTGACCTTTTCATCCATAGTGTTTCCAGAAAGACCGGAGGGCTCTGTCCGCTTCACGCTCAGCTCTGGTGTCGTTACAAACCCCCGTCCCTCTTCTGCAATGAGTCGTTGGCGTGTTTTGAGCCAGATGCTGAGACGGCGTGAAGCTGCGCTGATGTACGGCCGCTGCCAGTCTGGTTCCCTTCTCAAGGTGTTTCCTCTGTTTGAGTTGTGTGTGAGAGGGAGGTCATCACTGTCTTTAAAAAAAAAAAAAAAAAAAAAAATTCATGGATGCAAGTTTGACAAGAGTGTAGGCTGTAATCTAGTGCCAACCAATAAACACGCCAGTATTTCACACACGGCTCTGCTTTCTGCGTGGTCTCTCTTCTTCCCGGTGCCATTACCCTCGTACATGAACTTGGAGATTGGTCCATAAAGTCTCACTGGAGGAGAAAGCCCTCCCTGAAGTGGCTCGGTACCTTTACAGTCTGAAGAAGAAAATTTGGAAGGATGTTGCCAACAGCCTGATGTCGAGATGTGCTGTGGGGAGAGCTGTGCCAGGGTGGCTCGTGTCCCCACGGGTGCCCAACGCGGCCTCTCGGAGTGGTCCTTTACCCCAAACACCCCCGTTTCTCCCCAATTTGGGGTCCAGGCTCTGCTGCTGCACCAGTGCCGCAGATTTGCCTTGCAGCTGGGGGAGAATGAACCGGCTTTGCCCAGCTCCAGGGCTCTGACCCTCGCTCAGCTGAGATGGGGGTTTCTTCTCCTTTTGGGATGTGAAACAAAACGCTGGGCAGGATCCACTGACGTGCAGCCCGATCGCAGCGGCGAGGCTGTGAATCCAGCCATGGGAGCTCTTGCGTTTATCTGTGAAGTGAACGTGTCCTGGTTTGGAGATCCATCTCCCACTCCCCGTCTTTGCAAATTCCCTTTGGGATCTGAATGCAGCCGGGCTCCTCCTCCACCGCATTATTGCAACGAGGGAAAAGACACGGGCTTGTGCACAATGCCCTCACGTTCACAGCTGCGGCGTGGAGCTGAGGCTAAAATGAATCTCTGCTGACGGCAGAGTTAATGCCTTCACAGGCGAGTGGCGAGGCAGAGCTGGAGCAGGCTGTGCCTCTGTGGGGATGGGCAGCGGTGCTTCCCCCACCATGGGTATTTCTGTCTGGGTGAGCAGCCGGAGGGATGTGCTGGCTGGAAATCCAGCCACTTGTGCTTAACTGTTTAAACTGGAGCTTAGTGGCTCAGCAAAGCTGTCCCCAATTATCTGCTGGGGGCTGAGCAGCAGAGAAGAGGAGGCTGATGTCTCTCAGAGCAGGTTTTGGAGGAGAAATACCCTGTGGCACTATTCTAGCTCTCATTGCCTGCTAAAAATTTGCCACCTCTGGCTGATCCCCTTCCCACTCCAGTCGCAAAGGTGAAATTCCCAGGATGGGTGGCAGTGCTGCCCCTCAGCCCACCAGCATCTTTCCCCCACCCTGGGGTTAAGTAACGGGGAGATTTCCCCGAGGAGGAGCAGCCCCTGTGCTGCCACAGCCTCGACTCCCATTTTTCCCCATCTGGATGCTCTGGGCAGTGGTGGATGGAGAAAAAATATTCACCTGGGATTGGGGGATACTGCAAGTGTCGAGGGCTGCCTCTGGCAATGCAGAGGGGCTTGGTGACTCCCCTGGTCTGTTCCCAAAGCACCCCGCTTCCCCCAGGCCCCCGCAGGCTCCTCCAGCCTGGCCGGGCTGGTAGTGCGCTCCCGCCAGCCCCCGCTCGCTTGCTCTCTCTAAGGAACTTTCCTAGAAATTGCTGGATTTATTTTTAGCCGCAGCACGGCAGCGCCGGGCTGGGAGGGGATGGGCAGCGGCGGGTGGCGGCGGAGCGGGAAGCCCACGGGGTGTGGATGCGCTCCCACCGCCGTGGCCAGCTCCTGCCGTGACTGGAGGGTGCTGGGGGGTGCAGCCCCACTCTGTGTTTCCCCCCTTAGCAGCGGTGCCGGCCAGATCCCGACCCCTTTGGGCATGAAGGAGGGGATGAGGACGGGCTGCAAGGAGAACTGCTGCTGCTCACACAGGGGTGTTGCCCCACTCAGGGTGTGAGGCTCCCCCAGACCCCTCACGCCAGCGTTGACCCCCAAGATCTGCCTCCTCCCCCCGCCCCGGTACCAAAGCCCTGCGGTGAGATGGGTGCTAGGGTGGAGGTGATGTTCCTCCAGCTCCGTGGCTGGGGAATGTGGGGGGCCGGGGGGGCGGGTGCTGAGGCTGTGGCTGGTTTGGGAAGGCTGTTTGGGTCAGCGAGGGGAGAGCAGGGCTGCCAGGGCCAGTGGGACCACTGGGGAAAATGGGACACTGGGAACAGCAAGGGTCAGGGGCTCTCAGGGCAACTGGTGCCCTTTTCTGGGCTGGGGGATCCCTCAGTGTGGGGACACGTCACCCCAACCCCTTCCCACCCTTTGCGAGGGGCTCTGGCATCCCCCACTCCACACCACGTGTGGCTGAGGGCACCTCCACTCCCGTGTCCCCAGTCCCCTGCGGCCATGGTGCATCAGCGCGTCCCCGAGCCCTGTCCTGGGGCTGGTGCAGGGACCAGGGGGTGAAAATAACCTGGGGTGGGCTGGGCAGGGGGTGAGGGCAGGCGGTACAGGCGGATGGTAGAAGCAGGAGGAGGAGGACCGTGGCTGGTGGCTTCTCTCTGGGACGCTTCACCCCAGGGTTTTGCAGAGCAGGAACTGTTTTTTCCCCAGCGCTGCCATCCCACCGCTCTTGGTGCTTTGTGGGGACACCGGGGGCCGTGTCCCCTCAGCTCCACCATTCCCATGCTCCTCTCTTCCACCTCATTTCACTTGATTCTTATTTTTCTTTAGCTATCAGGAAGCAAACCGGGGTTCCTTGCTCCCCAGTGTCCCCTGCTTCCGCCTGACCCAGTTAGCGGGGCCATCTGGTCCCCGTGCGGGCAAAGCGGATTAGCCCTGCGGCCGGGGATCAGGGCTGGGACACTGCCCCCACCCCGGGGCTGCACCCACCCGCGGCACCTCGGCAGCCCCTGCCCGGGGGCATCAGCCACAGCACCAGCCCCCAGACTGGGAGGGGACCCAGGGCACCCACTGGGACCCCGGCCTGCCCCTGCTCCCGCGGGGCTGTCACCTCGACCTGTGTCTACATCTCCATCCCTCCGTCCATCCATCCATCCATCCATCCATCCATCCATCCATCCATCCATCCATCCCTCCGTCCATCCATCCATCCATCCATCCATCCATCCCTCCATCCATCCATCCCTCCGTCCATCCATCCATCCATCCATCCATCCATCCATCCATCCATCCATCCATCCATCCATCCATCCATCCATCCTTCCATCCATCCATCCCTCCCTCTGTCCATCCATCCATCCATCCATCCCTCTGTCCATCCATCCATCCATCTGTCCATCCATCCATCCATCTGCCCATCCCTCTGTCCGTCCATCAGTGTAGGGACACACCCACCCACCCTGGTGTGCACCCATCCGTCCGTCCACCATCCGTCCATCTGTCCATCACCCATCCATCCCTCTCTGTGCCCCCAGCTGTGCACCCCCCTGCTCCTCTATCTCTCCCCCCACCCCTCCCTGTGCCCCCCCGTGTCCTTTCCCTCCCTTTTCTCTTTTCTTCCCGTTTTTTTTCCCTCCCTCCCTCCCCCTGTTTTGCATTTTTCCATTTTTTCCGGTTTTTCCTTGCCCTTTCCCCTTTTCGCCCGTTCTCCCTCACCCGCCGCTCCCCCTCCGCCCCCCCCCCCCCCGCCCGGTCTCTGCTGCCCCCTACCGGCCGCGCTCTGCCACCGCCCACGCCCCCCCCTTCCAAGCCCCGCCCCTTTCACCGCCCACCCGCGCCCCGCCCATCACGCGCCGCGCGGGTTCCGGGTGCGGGCGGTGCGCGGCGCGCGCAGGTGGGGCGGGGCGGGGCCGCGCGTGGGGATGCGCGGGGTGGGGGTGGGTGGGGGGGGGCACGACTGAGGTGCTGGGGGGGGATGGGGGGGGAGTGTCTGAATTAGGGAAGGGGGAGGGGCGCCGCGTACGGTTTTGGGGGGGGAGGGGATGCCGCCGGCCCTCGCCCGTGGGTCGTGTCCCCCAACTCCCGTCCTGCTGCTCGTGGAGGCGGAGCCCCCCGAACCCCAGCGCTGCGGGGAGGCGGGGGGGTGACCCCCCCCTCCACACACACACACACTCCGGCAGGCCCCGAGTGGGGCTCCCCAGGGGCCGGGCACCCCTTTGCCGTGTCCCGGGGAGCATCATCCCGCCCGGGGTGCGTGTACCGGCCCCGGGGGTTGTTACCGGGGCGGTTGTGGGTTCACAGACACCCGTGGGCCCCCCCCTCATGCGGAGAGGAGCCGGTGCTGGGCCATGAGCAACGCCACGGCCCCCACGGCCCCGGGCACTGCGGGTGACTCGCTGGTGGGCTACGTCCTGGGACCCTTCCTCCTCGTCACCCTCCTCGGCGCCCTCCTGGCCGCGGTGAGTGGGTGGGCACAGGGCTGGGGGGGGGGGGGGCGGGGAAGTGGGGGGGTGTCAAAACACCATCCAGAGCCCCGCGCCCACTCACGCCTTCCCCTGCTCTCCTTGCAGGTGATGTACATCCAGAAGAAGCGGAGGTGGGTGCATGGGGGGGTGTGGGGGTGCGTGGGGGGGAGGTTTCGAGGGGGGTGTTGGACCTGTCACTGCTCAAACCACTCTCCCCCCTGCCAGGTTTGACCGGCTGCGCCACCGGCTGCTGCCCATGTATAGCTACGACCCGGCTGAGGAGCTGCAGGAGTCCGAGCAGGAGCTGCTGGTGGAAGCAGAGGACACCCGGGTGAGTGAGCCGCTGCGTTTTGGGGCCAGAAGCTTGGTTTTTGAGGACCAGCTATATGTGAGGTGGCTGTGGGGGGACGCCTTGCCAGCCACGCACGGTGCTGCAGGGAATTGCTATTTCTGTTTTGGTTTGTTGTTATTTTTTTTTTTTTTTTTTTTTTTGGCATGGAGAATTAGTGTTAAGCAGCACCATGTTCGGGAGCTCGTGAGGGGGGTGCTGACCCCCGCGGGGGGGAAGAACCCACAGAGTCAACCTGCCCCACGGGAGCACCAGGCTCTGGGAGCCAGGCGAGAGTTTGGGTACAATCCAGAGGTTTTGGGGAAGGTTGGGCTGTGCAGCCGGTACCTGCGAGCCGGGGGTTTCTCCACCCACCTTGACGCTATTTGGGGTTGCTTTGCCCGCCCCCCCCCCCCCCCATTTAGCACCAGTGGGGGGTCTGGGGCCACCCGCTGTCCCCTCCCAAAACTGCCCGGCGTGCTGAGGACACATTCTCTCTTGCAGGTGGTGCCCGGCTGGGGGGGGCCCTCGCCCCACCGGCCCCCACGCAGGGACTGGAAAGCCTGATGCTGCCCGGAGAGCTGGGGCCGAATCCTGCCCGCGGGAGCCAAGGGAGGACGGTGTCAGCACCGGCGCTGCCACCTTTGCTGGGAAGGGCAGGATGCTCCTGCGGGAGCGTGGCGATGCTGGTGGGCGCTGCCCGGGGAGCGAGCCCACCCTGCGTGAGCACTGACGATAACGGGTTATCTCCTACCTCGGCGCCTCTTTTGGCCCATTTTTTCGCTTGAACTGCCCCGCCAGCCCCTTAAAATGCACCGAGCAGGACGGCTGGGGCTGGCACCCTGGCAGGGGGAGCAGCCGGGCTGCGGGGGCTTTGCAGGGCGCGGAGGGCAGGAGCAGCGCGGCGGGTGCTGGAGCAAATAAATGTGTTTCTCTGCATTCGGCCCAAGAGCCTCCCGCGTCGGGCAGGGAGGGTTTTCAGCAGCGCCGGCGCTGCCGGAGCACGGGCCAAGCTCGATGTCAGCGGGGCAGGGGCGGGGTCCAGCATCACACCTCCCTGCCTCAGCAGCATCGTGACTCGGTTTGGTGATAAAAAGGCACTGAGGATGGGAGTTTCGGGGGTGGGAGCAGTGGGGTTTTGCCTGTTTCTCTTTCCATCGTCAGCTCCCGTCCGTCCCCGCCGAGGATGGCTGGATGGCTGGCACCGTCACGGATGTCCCCGTGGAGAAGGTACCTCTGTGCTGGTGGGCTCTCCCTGCGTGGGGAAAACCTGCTCCCACCCCACTGCGGGGGGGCTGGACCCCAGCCAGAGCCCAGGGCAGAGGCTTCAAACATCCATAAAATGTTTTATTCAAGTAACTGCAAATAGGAAACCAAAAGGTCGTTAACAGTGGACCAAAAAAAAAAAAAAAAAAACCAACCAAACCCCAAAACAAACCAAAACCAAACCCTAATTTTCTCCCGCTGGGGCCGCCCAGCACTGACCTCCGGTCCCGCTGCAGGGGGGGTGGTGTGGTAGGGGGAGCAACCCACGATCCCCCCCACCCCACCATCCTGCCAGCCTCTATCCCTTGGAGCAGCAGAGCAGCCTAGACCTTAAAATAACATTTTTTAAAAAAAAAAAGAAAAAAAAAGCCCAAAAAAAGGGGAGGGAAAAAGAATACCCCACGGCCCCCAGCGACACCCCAAAAAAGGAAACACGGAGCCAATGGTGCCCCGGCAGCCGGCACAGCAGCAGCATGTCTGTGAGTTCAGAGAGTGGAACTTAAATATCCAGAGGTAGTTGTGAATGAAAGGAAAAAAACAAAAAAAAAAAGTACTAAAAAAAAAAATTAATATATATATATATATACCGGAACCTATGAGGAAAGGGCAACCCTGAGCCGGCCCCACTCGGGCACCCCCGGGACGGGCACCGAGCCCCGGCATCACCACGGGAGCTGCTCTCCCACACACAGTGCAGTTGCCCAGGACTGGGGGGGACGCGGGGGGGTTTGCCTGGGGTAGCAGCAGGCCAGAGCAAAGGTGTAATGCATTTTTTTTTGGCAGGGGGGGGAGGGTGTCTCAACTTTGCTGACCCCCTGTCTCTTCCCTGCAGAGGCCCCAGGGCAAAACCTGGTGCTTTGGGGGGGGGGTGGGGGGGCAACCAGCACCCGGTTTGGGTGGGTGAGATCACTGCATTGGGTGGGGGGCAGCCCCGGCTCTCTGCCAGGCACCCCCTTGGCCAGCGGGGCTGCCCCAAAACCCAACGCTGAGGAAAGGGGGGAGCTGGGGTGGGTGCCCCCCACACCCCACCCCGTGAGCGGGGGCACTGCTGGGGCCGCCCGGGTTGGGCCATTTTCCAGTGCTGCCGTTGTCTGAGGGTGAGGAAGGAGGGGAGGAGGGAGGAGGAGAAAGCCAGGGCGGCGCAGTGGGTTTCTCCCTGTCCCTCTCCCCCGGCCGCCGAGGACGCGGGACCGTCGGGTGATGAGGTAGCGCCGGTTCGGGAGGTTTCACTGCTCTTCCTCGGATGACTCCTGGGAAATGTTCACCTCCTCCTCGTCCTGCTGCTGCGAGGCAAGGGAGAGTGGTCGGGGGGGTGCCCCGGGGGCTGCAGGCACCCCCCAGCATCCCTGGACGAAGGGCTGACCAGGCACGTCCCACCCCATGTGCAATGAGGGGAAACTGAGGCACCAGCACCCTCCTGGATTTGGGGACAGCCCCTTGCTCCACGTTTAACCGTTATGGGTTAAATCCCAGGTAAGCACACGCACGACCCCCCCAAACCCCCCCGCCGGGTGGGCTCGCACACCCTGCAAGGGTTGAGACCGCGGTCCCCAGCGCCACTGCCGCGTCCCCAGTTAGCACCAGAGGGGTGCTGGCGATGGCAGGACCCCCTGTCCGTGTCTGGCCCCGCACGCCGGGGCGGGCGGCCGTGAGCATCGTGGTGGCCCCGCACGCGGCGGTGAGTCAGGGCTGAGTGTGAGCGTGAGTCAGCGCCGGCCCCCGCTTCCTCCCGCTTCATTCATAAAAAAAAAAGCCACCGCGGCCGGCGGCTGCCGCCAAAGCGGGACGCCGTGTCCCTGCCACGGCCCTGCCGGCATGGGATGGGCTCGGTCTCACCCCTCCGAACCAGCTCCCTGCCCTGGAGCCCCCAAAACAGCCCCCCGGTGCTGTTCAGACCCAGCGCAGGAGACTGCAGGGTGCGACCCCCCTCCCTGTTTTGCAGCCCTGGCTGGTCTCAACCCCTCGCCCTCCGCAAGGAATTGAAGGGGGAAATCCCCGCGTGGGGCTGAGCAGCCGCGTGCTGAGGATGCTCTCGGGTGTCCCAGTGGCTGGGGACAGGGGGGGTGTGCACGCTGGGAAGGGAGATGAAACCTTCTCCCGACTGTCTGGGTGATGCTTGTGGGTGCCCAGCAGCTGCCTGAGCTCCCGCTGGGCTGCAAACCGAGGCGGGTGGAGAGGGGGGGTGGAAAATGAAACGGAGGAGGCAAAGCACAAAATAAGAGGGTGGCTGCAGCGTGCGGGGGGGGGGGGTGTGGGGGGGTTGCTGCGCACGCAGGCTGCAGGAATGCTGCGCCGGTGACGCAGCGAGCACCCGGGCTGGCGTGTGCCGGCGTGCCACCGAGGCACGACCAGCCGCCTCCTGCCTCCCTTTCCCGGGGCTGCGGGGAGGTGGGGGAGCTGGGGCAGCTCAGCCCCCCCCAGTGCCAGCACCCAGGGCACGGTCTGGCTGGGTTTGGAGCCCACGTTGTGCCGCACCTTGTCCCCTTTTTGCTCACTGCTCTGCTCTCCTCCAGCCTGGCAATAGGTACCCCACGCTTGTGGGGACAGCCGGGGGGGCTGCTTGTGCCCCTAAGGCGCCCAGCACTCTGCCAGGATGGAGGAGGGAGGGAAAAACCCACTCACCGATTTTTTGGGTCGGCCTCGAGGTTTTCTCCCTGGTGTGACTGCAGCTTTCTGACCGAAAAAAAAAAAAAAAAGGACATTTTTGGTCAGGCTGGGGCTGTCCCCTTGTCCCCGGGATGCTGCCGGGGGGCGGGTGGTGTTCCCCTTCCTCCCACCCACGACTGCCAAATTCATCACCCCAGTGGCATCTCCTGGGCTGCTGCAGCCAGGTGGCCCCAGGGTTGCAGCCAGGCCCCCGCTCCGGGCCCCCCTCACCACCATCCCCCCCCCCCCCCAGCTTCCAGCCCCAGGGCAGCCCCAGCCCCGTGACTCACAAGGTGGGCGCAGGATGTGAGTCGCGTGTTTTTGCAAACAGGTTTATCACGGGTGTCCACATGCTGACACACCCGCTCCCCAGCTCCCAACCCCCTTTCCTGGGGGCCAGCGCCGAGACACCCCCCTCCCAGGGGTAGATCTGCCCTGAATTGTCTATAATTGAGCTCAGAATTGACCCGTTGTCCCAGCACATGGCTGCTTGGCTGAAGCAGTCCCCATCCCCAGCCACCTACCCTGCCTTTCGGAGTGGCCTTGTTTTTACTGCCCTTCGGCCGTCCGCGGGGTCTCTTGGGGGTCGGGGCCTCACTGGGCTCCTGCTGGAGGGAGAGCAGAGGGGGGGGGGTGTCACTGCAGATTAGGGGTCCCCAGGAGGGGATGCATGCCCAGAGCAGCTCCCGGTGTATCAATGCACCCCAGGATGCTCTGGGTTGGGAGTCCTGTTCTCCCCAGCAGACCCTGCCAGGGCAAGGATGCTCTTGCGTGTGGTACTGAGACCACTGGTTGCACTGGGATAGGCTCCTGCGTGTCCTTCAGCCGGGCACGTACGTGACCTGTCCCACCCTGGCATTAATCGCTCGGCTTAGCCGCACGGTCCCCACCGGTTCCTCAGCCCCAGATCCCAGCTCATGCCAGTGCCGCTGCCTGGGCAAAGTGTTGGGGAACCAGCAAATCCCCTTTTCTGTGGGAAAAGGATGTGCACAAACCCCACCTGCCCTCAGGGGAGGGCGGCAGAGGGTGGGGGGGGGGCGGGCTGTTGGCATTATAAAGGCTCCAACAGCATCTTATCCCCTTGAGCAGCTTTTGCTAATGGGGCTTTAAATAACTGGGCTGCAAAGGCAGGTTCAGCTGCAGCCTGGGGAGGAGCAAGGGGAGGCCCAGAGCTCTGGGGTGCTGCCGGGCTGGGGGTGGGGGGGCTGTGAGGCCCCCCCCAGGAGGGTTTTATTGCCAGTGAGGACCCAGGAGGTGCTGCCTGAAGGGAGGTAATGGGGGCTGCACCGTGAACATCCCCATCAGCATCCCTGTCCCTGCCCAGGGGGTGCTGCTGGGGTGCAAGTGTGGGGGGGTTTTCCCCATCCCGTAGCCTGGGGGTGCCCCCTCCCTCTTTCCTCCCAGGGGACTCCACGTACCTGGGGCTTCTTCCTGGGCCGCCCCCGGCCCCTCTTCTCCGACACGTCCTTCTCCCCCTTGGAGGCCAGGGGCTGGCTGGATTTGGCGCCGGATTCACTCATCGTCCTTCCAGCAGCGCTGAGGAGGAGCGGGAGGGGGGGAGGAAGGTCGGTCAGCAGTGGCTCACCACGCTGGCCGATGCCTCTCCCCCCAGCCCTCCCCCCAGGGCAGGCGGGAGCTGGTGGTCACAGAAGTGACTCATGGGGCTGTGAGGGACAAGAGGAGCCACCGGAGCCTCTCACGGGGTCAACCCGGCCGCCTCCATGCCCGATCCCCCCCGCCATGCCCGATCCCCCCCAGGTGAGGATGCTTGGCCCCCCCAACTGCCGCCTGGCCCCTTTGTGGGGCTGGGGGTGGCCAGTGAGGTACCAGCATGGACAGGAGGTGGACAAGGACTAGCGTCCTCCCTCTAACAATGCCTCTTAGAATTAAAATTCAGCCAAGATGAGCAGCTTCTGCCCCATTACAGCCCTTCCCGGAGGCTTGCCCGCATCCTGCTCCTCTCCGCGCGGAGCAGGGACCAGCCTGTGCCCAGAGCACTGCCAGGACCGACGGGGGAGAAATCAAAAGCATCACAAAGAGTTATGCTTAGAAGAGAACCTCCCCCCCTGTATTTCTGGCACACACACACACACACACACACACCCCCCAGCCCATTGCGGAGCACCTTGGGCAGGCAGGACTCCCCTCCCGCTGCTGCAAAGCCGGTATCTGCAAAACCTCCCCTGCTGCACCCGTGTCCCTCCTGCAAACAGACCTTTGGCCCGCGACGGTCCCCACCGCACGTCCTCTCGCACCGCCGGGGCACTGTGACGATGTCCGGGTGCAACGCGCCCGGGCCAGCGCCGACCCACGGGGATGGAGCAACGTGTCTGAGGCTGCAGACACGGCCCCTGGCAGCGGGACCCCAGGGCTGCTCCCCGTTCTCGTGGCCTGAAAGACCAGCATGGTGTGGCGGTTGCTGCTCTGACGCCGGCTGGGTAAGGCTCTGGGTGCTCAGACCTCCCTGTCCCACTCGTCCCCCGCTCCCTGCCTTCCCCCAGGGTGGGTTTGCAGCTTCGTCCCTCCCCAGGATGCAAACTGCACCCTCTCATCGCCGGCTGGGGAGCAAAACGAACCGGCTGCCAGGCAGGATCCTGCCCCAAGCCCATGGCACGGACCCCCCGCTGAATTAGCGGGTGTCCCGGTGCTAAGGAAGTTCCCGGGGTCCCCAGCAGGCATTTGGGGAGCAGCAGCTTGGCCGGGCCCTCCTGCAGAGCCCATCCCCTTTCCTCAAAAGGAGGAGAGCGGTTCCAGATTTAATCTGGAGTCCTTGGGATCCCAGACACACCGTCGGCACCGGCAAGTTGGAACAGGACAAGTGGTGGCACAGCACGGGGGGGGGGGGGGGGGGCCTCCGCGCATCCCCACGGGGGTCCTAGGGCCCTGGGGGGATGGTGCAGGCTCCCACAGCCCTGCTCCCCCCACCCTGCCTTGACACCCGGCACCGCGGCACCCAGGGCGGGATGCTGCACCCCTGCCACCCTGGCTGGGTTTAGGGACAGGCTGGGTTGTCCCCTCCCCTGTGCATGTCCCAAAGGGCTGGACGGCTTTCCTTGCTCAAGGCGAAATCCCACAGAGGAAAAGGCTCCATTTTCCCCTCTCCACCTGGATGCTTCCCCCAGGGGCGTAGGGAAAACCTGCTTTTCCAGAGCAGTGGGGCCGGTTCCACACCCAGCTCCCAGCCCAGGAGCCAGGAGGATGGGCTCCAGGCTGGATTGCTACCACAGCCCCAGCACCTACAGGTAACCCCAGCTGCAGGGCTCCTGCTCTGCTCCTCGGTCGGGTGACTATGGCCATGAGGGGTGTGGGGGGGGGGGGGCACCTGCTCAGAGCAGTGATGTGATGTTCCCCAGCAGAAATGGGGCCACGAGAGCAGCGTCCAGGTCCCGCCGCCCCTAAGCGCGGGGCTCGGAGCTGCCTGGGAGACTCGGCTAGAAAATCACAGCATTGCTCTGGGATGGATGATGCAACCCCAACCCCCCGGGGCCAGTTCTCCCTCTGGGGACAGTCCCTGCACCCCTGCCCTGGGTCTGACCCACATCTCCGGAGCACAGCAGCCCCCCGGCCCGGCTTCTCCCAGAGGTACAGGGTTGAGCGCCTGGTCTGCTTGCAAGGACGGAGACAATCTCCCTACCTCTGCCTACAGGGTTAATAACGCTTCGTTTTGAGCAACTGGTTTCTATTTGGATGGTGTTAGAGCTGCCGGGACAGTGCTACTGGGGGCAGCGGGGGGCTGGCAGGGTGCTGAGCCCCCCCCCCAAGGATGCTGAGCCCACCCAAGGATGCTGAGCACTGCCAGGATGGCTGCTTGGGCGAGAGGTGCGGTGCGAGGAGCCATGTGTCCTGTGCTCAGACCTTCGAGGCTTTTTAAAAAACACACGTCAGCTCCCGCTCCCCTCTGGAAGTGACTCACAAGTGCAAAACAACAACAACAAAAACCACCCTCAGATTCCTTTTTTTTTTTTTTTTCTGGGAGACAGAAACCATGCTGTTGTGTAAATAGCCCGAAAATATTACTCACAGCATCCCAGAGCCCTTCAAGGAGTCTCTTAGACAAAAAAAAAAAAAAAAAAAAAAAAAAGTATGGTTTAGATTTAGGAAAGAAAAACGCCGGCCGGCTGACCGGGGGCTGGGATGGGTTTGTCTCTTTTAAAATCAATCTTTGCCAGAGGAAACGCAGCCTCCGAGCCCTGCTGTACCCTCTCCTGGAGCTGGAAACAGATGGGCCCAGTATGGCCCCCACCCTGCCGTGCTCTCCTCCACCCCACTGGGGATGGGCACGGCCCCCACGCGGCGGCTCTGGGGGTGCTGAGGGGACCCTCGCTGCCGTGGGGATGCCACCGGGTATGGCCCCCCCAGCCAGAGCCTGCCGCTGCAAAGTTGTTGGTGCTGGGGAAAGCACGTGCGCATCCCCCCGGCCCCCCCGCCACCTCCAAGCTCTCCCCAGGGGCTCCAGAGCCAAAACCACCCCGAGGGGACCGGGGGGCTCCATGTCCCGCTCTGGCAGAGCGGGGGATGAGGAGGATGCCCGAGTGGGAGATGGGGATGCTCCTCTCTCCCACCCCAGCACCTCCCCAGCCAGCACCCATCTTCCCAAGAGCGGCCCTGGCTGGGTGCGATGCTCCCCGGCTTAGTGGCACCCGCCTGGCCCCCGGAGCACCCCGCGCTGGGGCCGGGCACCCCGCGGGCAGCAGCTCGGGCCCCGCTCGCACGCATCAAAAGAGGGAGGGAGCAGCTGTGTTGCCATGGAGGAAAGGAAGCAGCTGAGAGAGAAAAACCTTTCCATGCAGGGAAGAATCAGTCGGAGACGAGGGCAGGGGGGCTGCTGGGCTCCCTGAGGCTGGGAGGGATAAATCTCTGCAAGGTGTGGAGGTGGGGGGGCTACATCTGCCTCTCGATCGATGGAGTTGGGGGAAGAAACACCCCTCCCCTCTCCAGCCCTATGGATGCTGGAGGACTCTCCTCCCCCAGCCCCATCGCTCCCTCTGCTCTGTGACATGAGCTGGGCCGTTCTCAGCAGCCCAAGCAACTGTTTGGGTTGCAAAAGAGACAACCTGGCCTCTCGGAGCGATGCTCCTTGCTGCCCCTGGGCCTGCTCCTGCCTTCCCCCACCCGCCCGCGCTGGCTTACACCTCTCCCTGCAAATAACCCCACAAATCCCCTGCTCCCGCCACCTACTCTTAGATTAAACAAACCAGCCCAGGAGAACCAGGGAGATAGGCGGTGGCTTAGATCTTACAAAAAAAAAAAAAAAAAATCTCTTCACGCCCAGGAAATCTAGCCTGATTGCAGCTAGAGAAGGATCCCGGCCGCACCTCCTGGCAGAGGGAGGACGGGAGAGGGAGGAGGGGAAGAAATAGTGGAGCAGAAGTTGAAGAGCCTGTTCCGCAGGGGTGAGGGCTGGGAAGGGATGTGCGCGGCTCCTCATTAGGACAAGCCCTCCATGGGGCTGCTTTGAAGCCCCCCCCCCCTCCCCGGCCTGCTATTAAGGAAAGTCCACCCCCCCCTTCCTTCCTGGGCATGCATAATAAAAGGAAGTGATAAAAGAAAGGAAGGAGGGAGGTGGGGGAGAAAGAAAAGAGGCAGGAAGGGCACCATCACACGCTTTGTGAAGCCCCTGTCCTGCGGGGCATAATAAAACCCCGGGTGGAGCCAGCTCTGTGTGGCATCACCCTCCCCCCCCCCCCCCGCCACCGCCGGGGGTGCGGGGCCCCACGGTCTCGCAGCGGGGAGCAGCGTGGGCTGCTGTCTTGGGGGGCGGCTGAGCCCCAGCACTGCAACTTTGCACCGACCCGTATGTGTGACCCCACACACACCCCAACCCCTGCCTCAGCTCCCCCACGCCGCGAGCCGGGCATGGCCTGGCCCTTTGCACCGGCCCCACGCACCTTGCACCGGCCCAGCCCCACGCACGGGTCCCTGATCCCACGCACCGCCCGCGGCCCCACGCACCTTGCACGGTCCTCCCTTCCCCAAGCACGGTCCCGACCCCACGCACCCTACACCGACCCCCACGCACTCTGCGAGCCCGGGCACGGGTGGGGGAGCGGCACCCCCAGGGCCGTGCAGGGCGTTTGCATCACCCGAAACCGAATAAGTGGAGGAAAAGTCCCGCCACGCCGGGAGCGACCGACACCGGGGACCCCCACCCCACCTCCCCCCCCGCAGCCCCGCCAGGTGCATCACCCTATTAATAACAATAATTAATAACAAGAATAATCAAAAAAGGCATTGCAGAGCCGGCCCGCCGCACGCACACACGCGTCCTTGCAAATACAGAGCAAACCGGGGGCGATCGTGCACAGCATGCGGAGAGAGGGGGAGCAGAATCCCGGCCCCCCCCCCCCCCCAGCACCCCCCGGCCACCCCCCGCACCCCCCGGAGCAGAAAGGAAAGAGGAAGGCCGGCACTCACAGTCAGCTTGATCTCGGAGCTGGGTGCTTGGGGTGGGTTTTTTTTTGAGTGGTTTGGTTTTTTAGGTTGGTTTGGTTTTGTTTTTGTTTTTGTTTTTTTTTTCTCCTTTTTTTTTTTTCTTTTTTTTTTTTTTTTTTTTTTCCTGGCGTGTCTGTGTTGTGAAGCGAATTAAACCCCCCCCCTCCCGGCGGCTGCTGCTGCTCGCAAATGCGGATCTGAAAGGAGAAGGCAGAGAGAGAGGCTGCGACTCACACACGCATCCACAGCTCAGCCAGGCCCCCCTCTTATTTATATAAATAATAAAGAGAGAGAAAAAAAAAAAATGCTCCAGGAGGAAGGAAGCTGGGTCAAAATCATTTGCAGGGAACGAGGAAAAAAAAAAAAAATAGGAAAGGGAGGGGGGGAGGAGGGGGGAGGGGGGGGGGGAAATAAAAAAGGAGCGAGCTCCCAGCCTTACTGGAGGGGATCCAGCTGCTAAAAATAGCAAAATCACACTCGAAATTAAATAAGGGCAAACAGGCTAAGGGGAGCTCCCAGCCCTTGCGGAGCGGGGAGAGGAGGAGCCCGGCTGCATCACGGCGGGGGCGGGCGGCGGCGGGGCCGGGAGCGATAGGTCCGTTCAAAGGGCTGCGGCGGGCGGGCGGCGGCTGCTCCCCCCTCCTCTCCCCCCCACCCCCCCGCAGCCTCCGGTCCCCCGGGGGGCAGATGGAGAACCCCCCTGCCCCCCCCCCCCCCCCCCCGGGATGCTGCGGGGATGCTCCTGGTTGGGGGGGGGTGTGTGGGGTGTGGGTGGGGCGCGGGTTACCCCGCGATGCCGCCGAGTAAATCAACCCCCGGCTGCTCCCCTCCACCCCCCAGCTCCTCGCAGAGTGGGCAGTGGTGTTTTGGGCTGGCATGGGGGGTGTGTGTGTGGGGGGGAGTGCGTTTGGCATCACCGTGGGGGTAAACACTGGCCAGGGCTGTGCCACACACCACATCCAGCACCCGTGGGCAAAACACGATGCTTTTTCCTTTCGCTGCCTCCCTGCCAGGTTAACCCCCCCAAAAGAGCCTCCGGTCCCCATCTGGAGGCACCAGCAGTGGGGGCTCCAGCCCCGGGGCCTCCCAGGCCTGGCTGGCTTTTGTCACGGTATTTATTTTTTATTACAGCACCACTGCAGAAATGGGAGGCCGGTGTGGAAGCGAGTCCCGCACGGCTCGGCACCGTGGGGTTTCAGGAGCCGGTGAGCGGCCCTGAGGCTCTCCCGGGGTTTCATCAGACGATGGACTTGGTCTGCAGTAAAAATCTTTATCTGAATTCCTGTGATCTGTTTTGGAAGTGGTTTAGGTCAGTCTGGGATGGGAGCCAAGATCAGCTCTCCAGGTAGGTACCCCAAAACCCAGACCCTCGTTGTGTCAAGGTTTTCCAAGGCGTGGGCAGGCATTTGGGGTCTCATGGTGGTTTTTTTGATGGGATACAAGGAAATCCAGAGCTCAGCATCCTCTCGGTGACAGGGCTGTGCAAAATTCCCCCAAACTCCTGCAGAAACTCCAGTCACAAATTTAATGGAAACTACAATTTCGGTGCTTTTGACCATCCTGACACCAAAGGTCAAAAATCTGGAGTTAGGAGCTGAGCTTTAGACTGGCTGATGCTGGATTTAAGTTTCAGGCAAGTTTTTATTAAAAAAAAAAGCACCTTGAAAAATATGAAACTTGGAAGTATCAATATCTGTGTGTGTGAAACATCAGCAGGGAAGATTTACGCTGTAAAAAGAAACAAATCAAATGGAGCCAGGCTTGTGGCACTTTTTTGGCTAATTGTTATTTGAATTTTTAAAATCCCCTGCAAATTCCCCTGACTAAAACGCTATCAAAACAGTGTCCCTTTCTGACAACTAAAAAACGAAAGCAAAGAGAGGGGAAAAAACCCGTTGTAAGAGGCTGACCTGTTTTCAAACGCCTGCAAAAAGAGCAGGCATCGCCCCGCTTGCGCCGCTGCGTTTTGGGGCTGAGCTCCACGACCCTGGAATGGTGGTGGATCTCCTCCATCTGAGGATCTTGCATCCCAGCAAGGTGTTGTTTTCAGACCCTGAGTACCCTATTTTTGGGGGCTAAAATCGGTGTTTTCTCTGGCTGCAGACAGCCCTGCCTGGGTTTGGAGGTGCCAGGGTACCCTCTGCCCAGCCCAGCCTGTGGCCGCGCTCAGGCTTCCCCCCTTTGCCATGAGCCTGGCGAGGAATTTGGTTTCTGTCCCTGGCAGAGGCTTGTTGTTATTAATATCCCTCGTTATTTATTCTGCTGTGGCACTTAATGGCTGTAAGCGGGTTGCTGCAAACAACCGGGGCTGCTCTTTTTCGCTTTGATCCCTGAAATTTTTGGCAATTCCCCGTTTGCTGAGCCCACGCCGGTGCCTCCCTGGGGTGGGTTCACCCGTGGAGTGACCATTTGGCCTTTAAAGCAAAATAGTGCTGCCACGGTCCCCTGAAACTAAAGAGAGGTGGTGAGATGCTCCCAGCAGCTGGGAGCAATGCTCTGATGGGAAACTGACACACGACTGAGTGCAGGGAGGGGAAATGGGGAAAAAATTGGGATTTGGGGAAATAGGATTTGTTTGGTGCTCAGAGAGTGTTTGCCAAGATGGGAGGACCCAGGGGATTTTGGCAATAGCCTGGCAGCAAGATCTGCACCTGCAGGGAGGGGGACACAGGGCAGTGCCCCCCGCTTCAAATAGAAGGAAATCTGTATGTGCGATGCCCACGCAGCAAGGTGAGATGCAGAGCAGTGCAAGGCCGCTTGGATTTGTGCAGAGCCCAGTGCTGGGCCCAGGACTTCAACCCGGGCAGATCATTTTCACTTTTGTTTTTGCAGTTTTCCCAAGTTAGAGCCTGCGGCTCGTGCGGATTCGCAAGCAGGACTGGCGAGGTTCACCCAACCTGCAGTTCAGTTCTGCAGCGAGACCAGAAAGTGAAAATGGCTGGAAACAGGGAAACAAGAAGTGATTTTTTTTTTTTTTTTTTTTTTTTTTTAATTTTTTTCTTTTATTTCCCGCCTGATGCAGGGCACAGAGGAGCAGCCTGTGCTGTGCTGGGGTTGTCATCCCCCCGCGCGGTGCTGCCCGCTGTTATCCAGGGAAGCCGGCTGGGCCACGGGCAGGATGTGGCCCCGCTCGGGGTGTTTGCGGGGCCATGGCGCGAGGGGATGGGGATGGGGACAGGGACGGGGCCTTTGTTTCTCCTCCCGGCTTTGTTTCCCAACGGCCCCATTGATGAAGCCCCATGTGGCCAAACAGCCCCAGCCCCACCCCGAAACAGCCTTTTTAATTTCATTAAACAGCTCCTTCCTTCTCACCCACCAAGGCAGGGCGGATTTAACACTCACCAGCGCAGTATTTTCCTGTAGCCCTATTCCGGGGACAAATTCCTAAATCACCTGATAAATTATAGGCTTAAGGCTGCTGCTTTTGAGAGCATGAGCCCTGAGCTTGCAGGTTGATGCCGGCACTGTGGGATGCATGTGCTGCAGATGGGGGGTGCACACATGTAATATTGAGTATCCCTATTTTTTTTAGCCAATGTTTCTGGTTTAGGAGGAGATTTGATGGGGAAATGGGTGCCCTGTGTTTGGGAAAAGCTGCACCTCTGCAAGCTCCCCTGAAAAGAAGGTGCTTGAAATCATTCCCTGCTGCTTCAGCTCAGCAGGGCTCTATAAAACTGCAGGCACTGATCATGCGCCCCCAAAATGCAGCTACCTCGGGGGGGGGGGTATATGGGGACCAGAGGGTGGCCCCGAGGGGGAGGACATCTTGTCCCATGCTGCCCCACACCCCAGTGACTGCCACCAAGCCCCACAAAGCTGCGTTCAGGATTTGGATGCTTAATTCCTGCTAATTTCCCTGGGAAAGGGGAAACTGGATCCTCTAAGGCAGCTCTGGAAAAAAATCTCAGCCCACATTGCTGGGTAATTGGAAGGGCTACCTGACTAATTAAGAGCGTGGTGTGTTTGTCACCTCCAGAGCCCTTTTGAACAACAGTTAATTAATCCTCATGGTTCTGGGCCTTGCAGAGACAGGTGTCGTTACCCATATTTCACAGATGGGGAAACGTGCGGATCAGAGGTGGTGAGACTTCTTCAAGGCCAGGTGAAGAGCACGTTTCACTGGCGTTAGAGTCTGGTCTAGTGCTCAGGCTGCACCATGTCCCTTGTAGATGTATTTACTCAGCATTGCCAGGATTTTGCTGGCCAGGGAAGTTTCCCGTTGTGCCTGGAGCATCCCTGTGCACCACCCCAGTTCCGGCTGCATTGTAAGGAGCATTTGCTGAAGATTCTCCTTCTGTGCAAGAGGTTTTGCAAAACACAAAGTCAGAGGCAGGCAGGACCTGGCTTGCCTTGAAGCTGAGTTTTCTCATTTCCAGCATCCTTGGGAGACAGGGAAGCATGTATTTGGCTCCTCTCTATATAGGAGCAAGTATATATATATATATATATATATATATAAATATATAATCCCTGCAGCCTCTCGGATGCCCCTGGTATCTCCAGGGAGGGGACGTGTCTTAGCAGGGAAAACACATCTCAGGTGCAGGAGGTGCCTGAGGTTGAACAGGAGGACAGCAGCAAGGTCTGACCCAGGGCTGGGCTTACTGCTTTGGTCACGTTCGTTTTCCAATGCAGGAGCTGGCTGAGCTCTGTGTGACCAGGCTCAACATTCACAGCTCTAAGGGACCCAGCGTCCCTCCAATCGCAGCAGGGATGAGTGGAAGTGGCTGCACAAGCAAGAGGGCTCTGCAGATGGGTCCGAGATGATTAACTGTCTACATTAATTCTTGCTCAGTGTGATACGGTGAGCATCACATTCACCACGCTCCATGTTTCTGACTTTCTCAAGACACCTCAGGGCTGAACTCCTCCTGGGAGGACACCTCTGGTGTGGAGCATCCTGAGACCACAGCCCTTGGGAAGGGCTTTCCCGAGATTCGCCATGTCCTGAAGAGTTCCCAGCAGACAAGAAGAAATACTTCTTCTTCCAAGAAGCAGAAGGACTTGCCCAGGTCCATGCAGAAGCAGCAGTAGAGTGGGGCACACAAGACCCATCCTACCTCCCCTTGCTCTTACCTCGCAGCTTGCATGCAAATCCCTGCTTAAATATTTATTACTGGCTACAATCAATAATTAGCCCCCAGGAAAAGACATTTCTGGCAGTTGGCTGCTCTGATTACTTTTGGAGAGTGGTACGGGGCCAAGGTGTCCAGATTGCTGAGAGCCTGCCCCCCGTCTGAGCCCAGGGTGGGTAAATGGGGTTGGAAATGGGGGGGCTGAGCACTGGGGAGAAGGGCTGCTGTGGGTGTGTGTGGGTCTGTGGAGCCCACCTTGGGGCAAAGTTGGAGGGGAAGAAAGGGAAAATTATGCCTTACGCCTGTCCCAGCCCTCCAGCGTCGAGGGGCCTGGGCTGACAAAGAACGTGGGTGCCCTTTGTGCCTGGAAAGACGTGGCCAAATCTGTCCGGACCAAGCCAAACATGTCAGGTGCTGTCTTGTTTTGAAAGCTCTGCTGGGAAGTCACCCCTGGGACGGCTT